ACCACACCATGTCTTACAGAGCCTGTGGCACCGGTGAGGGAGACAAACGAGGCTGATGTCGCTTGGGCAACCAGAGAGAGGGATTTTGCATCCCAAAGAATGTCCTATGACCTTGAGCATTGGAAGTGGGTCACTGCCAACAAGAAGTGTTTGGCTTTGATAAAGAACACGATTGAGCCTGCAATTGTGGGCTCAATCTCAGAGTGTGACACCGTCACCAAGTATCTCGAAAGAATAAAGAGTCAGTTCACTGGCTCTTCAAAGACATATGCTACCCAGCTGATAAAGCAGGTGGTGACAAAGAGGTACTCAGGTAATGGTGGCATAAGAGAGCACATACTAAGGATGAGCAATCTGGCATCCAAGCTAAAACCAATGGATTTGGCTCTCAAGGATGAGTTCCTTATCCATCTGATGTTTGCTTCCTTGCCAAAAGAGTTTGACACCTTTGTTGTCAACTACAACATACAACCCAAAAAGTGGGACATGGAGAGGCTCATGGCTATGTGTGTGCAAGAGGAGGAGAGAATGAAAGCTGTCAATGGTGGCACTATCAATTATCTAAAAGACAACAAAAACAGAATAATAATGCCAACTTCTCCTCAAAGTCAAATGGAAAGGGCCCCATGCTGCATAAGCCTCAGCAGAACCAGTTCACAGTATAAGAAAAATTGTCCTGATTACTTAAAGATGATCATGGCAAAGAAAGGTGAGAACATTATTACGTTCATAAATGAATCCCTGTATGTACAATATTCAAAATCTACTTGGTGGATTGACTCAGGTGCAACTGTTCATGTTGCTAATTCTTTACACGGATTCCGTTCGATGAGGACTACAGAAAGAAGCGAAAGACACGTTAAAGTTGCGAATGGAGTCCGAGCAGAAGTTGAAGCCGTTGGCGATCTTTCTCTAGAGCTTGCTGATGGTTTCAAACTTATATTTAGAGATGTTCTTTATGTTCCCTCGTTACAGAGAAACATAATTAGTGTTTCATGCTTGGACAATGATGGATATGATTGCCATTTTAGAAATGGCAAATGTAAGATAACATTTAATAATGCATGTGTTGGTCTTGCTATCTTACAAAATAAGCTTTATTTGTTGTCACTACGTGATGATGTGAATGTTGTATGCGATAATGGGAACGTTGCGTGCGACAATGTGAATGTTGTGAATGTATCCTCGTATGCGGATGTAAACAGAAAACGAAAGAGAGCTCACGATGCATTGTCAAAATTATGGCACTGTCGTTTAGGCCATATTTTGAGGGGGAGAATAGAAAGACTAGTTAAGAATGAATTCTTCCTCCATTAGAGCTCTCAGATTTAGAACAATTCAGAGAATGCATTAAAGAAAAGTATGTAAAGAAAATTAAGAAAGATGCCAAACAAAGTGCATGAATTCTATAGATTATTCACACAGACATCTGTAGTCCATTTCCTATAAAGAGTGTGTATGGTTATGATTCATTCATAACATTCACAGATGATTACTCCCGTTATGGCTACATTTATCCAATCAAAGAAAGAACAGAAGCATTGGATAAATTTAAGATATTTAAGGCAGAAGTTGAAAACCAACACAATTTAAAGATTAAGATAGTCAGGTCCGACCGTGGGGGTACTACGGTCGGCATACCCCATATGGCCAAGTTTCTGGACCTTTTGCAAGGTTCTTACAGGAAAATGGCATAGTATCCTAGTATTCTACATCGGGCGAACCTCAGCAGAATGGAGTAGCTGAAAGGCGCAATCGTACCCTGATAGATATGGTGCGCAGTATGATAAGTTACTCCACCTTACCAATGAGCTTGTGGATGGAGACGTTAAAAATCGCCATTCATATTCTCAATAGAGTACCAAGTACGTCGGTGCCCAAAACACCATATGAGTTGTGGACAGGAAGAGTATCCTCATTAAACCACTTACGTGTGTGGGGGAGTCCTGCTGATGCTAAAGTATTTAACCCAAACATTGGGAAGCTAGATCCCAAAACAGTGAGTTGCCATTTCATTGGTTACCCAGAAAAGTTAAAAAGTTTTCGTTTCTACTGTCCAGACAGACATACAAAGTTTGTGGAAACGAGACACGCAGTCTTCCTAGAGAATGAAATGATGAGAGGGAGCATGGTAGCTCGAGAAATTGACCTTGAAGAGAAGCGGGTGTATGCGCACACTCCGATGATTCATGAGCCATTTTCTCACTACTACTGCTTTGTCATTTTGCACCGACAGTAGTACAAGATCTTGTGGTGCTAGCACTTGTTGTTATTCCGCCTGTGGCAACAATGAATGATGATGAGGAACACATTCTTGAGATCTCTGTAGAACCTATTGCCACAAATGAGTGGGAGCAACAACAGCCTCAAACAGAAGATGTGCCAAATGTGGAGGCCCCTAGAAGGTCTCAAAGAGTTAGAAAATCAGATATTCCTGCTGATTATGAAGTGTACAACACTGATGAATTTCAAATGGAGGATGATCCCACCTCATTTGAAGAAGCCATGAAAAGTGATCATTCATCAAAGTGGCTTGAGGCCATGGAAGATGAAATGAAATCTATGAATGCCAATAAAGTTTGGGATTTAAAAATAATTCCTAAAGGAGCCAAAACAGTAGGCCGTAAATGGGTCTACAAAACAAAACTTGACTCTCAAGGGAATATAGAGAGATATAAAGCACGACTTGTGGCAAAAGGCTTTACACAAAGAGAAGGGATTGATTACAATGAGACCTTTTCTCTAGTCTTATGTAAGGATTCCTTCATAATCATAATGGCATTAGTGGCACATTACGATTTAGAATTATATCAGATGGATGTAAAGACGATATTTCTCAACGGAGACTTGGAGAAAAATGTTTACATGGCACAACCGAAAGGTTTTGTCATGGAAGAAAAAGAACGAATGGGATGCCGCCTAAAGAAATCCATTTATGGATTAAAACAAGCTTCAAGACAGTGGTACTTGAAGTTTGACGAGACAATAAAAAATTTTGGATTTAAAGAGAATGTAGAGGACAATTGTGTCTATACAAAGTTTAAGAATGGGAAGTTCATCTTTCTTGTCCTGTATGTGGATGATATCTTACTTGCTAGTAGTGATGTTAGTCTACTATTGGAGACAAAAAAAGTTTTTATCCTCAAAATTTGATATGAAAGATCTTAGTGAAGCTCCGTTCGTTCTAAGGATCGAGATTCACCAAGATAGAAGTAAAGGGGTATTAGAACTGTCACAAAAGGCATACATAGAGAAAATCTTAAAGAAATTCTATATGCACAAATGTAGTCCCTCACGTGCTCCTATAGTCAAGGGCGACAGATATGGGGATTTTCAATGCCCCAGGAACCAATATGAGATCGATCAAATGAAAGTGGTTCCATATGCTTCAGCTGTCGGAAGCTTGCAATATGCTCAAGTATGTATGTGTCCTGACTTGGCATTTGTTACCGGGTTACTTGGCAGATTCCAGAGCAATCCTGGAATAGAACACTAGAAATTAGTAAAGAAAGTCTTACGTTATTTGCGAGGAACGAAAGGCCTCATGATGACGTATAGAAGATCTGATTCACTCCATATAATGGGGTATTCAGATTCTGATTATGCGGGAAATGATAGAAAATCTACGTCTAGATATATATTCACTCTCAGGGGAGCTATTTCATGGAAAAGCTCAAAACAAACCGTCACTACATCGTTCATAATGTATGCCGAGTTTGTAGCGTGTTACGAGGCAACGGGGCAGGTGAACTGGCTAAAGAAGTTCATACCCGATTTGAAGGTGGTTGACGACATCTATAGACCACTTAAGTTATACTGCGATAATAATCCGGCAGTACAGTATGCTAATAATAATAAGTCAAGTGGTGCTGCCAAACACATTAACATAAAGTATTATGTTGTGAAAGATAAAGGCCGGAATCATGTTATAAGTCTTGAGCATATAAGAACAGAAAAGATGCTCGCGAATCCGCTTACAAAAGGCTTACCACCCAACGTGTTCAGAGAACATGTAGCCGGCATGGGTTTAAGGGAAAGCCTATAATTCCTGGACAAAAGAAGGCCAAAGATAAGTATCTATTTCAGAACAGAGTTGTGTGTTGTAGCTGTTCTATCTATCGGCAATGGACCATAACGATGAGGCATGCTCTATACGCTAATCTGTAATGGAATGAACAAAAGTAAATGATATGAAAGTGAAAGATGGAAAGAGATTAAGGGGGAGATGGTTAGGTTGATCTCTAATCCTAACTGGATCCAATGGCCCAGTTGGGCCTTTGATTCACACCCTGATCGGGGGCGTCCAGCCCACCATGGCTGGAGGGTCCCTGTCACCCTGCGCTATAAAAAGAGGTGGGGGCCGGCGGCTCTTATCACGAGGTTGACCTGAGCCGAGCTTCCCACCGACATCTAAACCCTAATCCGATCAGAGAGGGGCGCAGCCAGTGATGGGAAGCCACCAGCTACGCCACCCGCTCCATCGATGTCGACGTCTTCACCGCCCTCTTCACCGACCGTCGCTGCCCGTGCGCAGACATCACCAACGAACCTGATGACGTCCGCTAAACCTTCCCCCTCTGCGGTGTCAGGTTCAGCACCCTCTCCCTTCCATCTCTGTCTCTCTAGTTCTACATGCATTATGATGTACTACGTTCTTTATCCCGAATAGAACCACTGTACCCGGTTAGATCTATGGTCCTGCTGATTCTAACAGTTGTAACATCGTCTACATACACGCAGAAAGCACAGACCTCATAAGGAAGAAAGTTCCGCAACGCCAACGCATTACAACGCAAAAATCCATTTGAAGCAACGTGATGAACCAAAGTGAATTCTGCATGCGGCATTGCCAGAATTTGCGTTTGATGGCTAGAGAGCAAAGAGCATGCATGTCCAACACAGTGTTGTGCAGATCTTGAGCGTCTCATGCGAAGCATGATCCCCAGCTGGTAAGAACAAGGCACTGACGATTTGACGAACACAGCCACAAGCTCACAGGCCTAGTGATCACCACCTTCTCCCTGTGACTTCTGCGACCGCATTCTCAGCATCCATTTCCTCTGGTTGGACGTCACCTCAAGCGGCGCCGAGCTGGATGGAGCAGCAGTCCTCTGGTGATGCTGTGCAGCTGCCGAGCTTGGGAGCTCCGCCGGAAGCGCGGCGGCCGTGCCGGTGAAGGCGTTGAGGACGAGGAAAGCGAGGATAGGCGACAGGTCCAGCGTTCCCCCGAGCGGCGGGATGATGCCCCGGAAGATGTTCAAGTACGGGTCACATATCGTGCTGCATTGCATTGCCATTGTTGTTACATATACAGTATACATGTCAGTAAAACAGCTCATTTTATTTTTCACTTTTAGACGTCTCCACAAGCATACGAAAAAGCCATCCAGGAACGCTCTTCTTTATCTGAAGAAGAAATGTAGGGACATTTACATATTTACCATTATAACGGACGCTCACTCTCCAGATATCACCCTACCAGAATCTCATATTGTTTTAGCAGCGTCGTTGCCGAATCCATACATATTTACCACATTTGAGGACGTGGCCAGCCAGCGTAGCCGTCCACATCGGATCTTAGTCAGCGGGGTGTGTAAAATGACCTCGCTGCCCCTGGGCTCCTTGGCTTAGCTATCCGAGTTGTCTCAGTCGATTCAGCCGGCCCATTTGGCCCGCGCTCTTCACTGACCGTTGCCACCGCCGACATCGCTGTTCGCCGCGGCGGGCTCCCCGCTCCTGGACCTGCCGGAGCCGCTGCTGTTCCACATCCTGGGCTTCTTCGCGGACGCGTGGTCGCGGCACCGTGCCGCACTGGCGTGCCACCGGCTCCTCGTGGCGGAGCGGGCCACGCGCGCCACGCTCTGGCTACGCGGGGACCCACGCTCGGACCCGTTCCTCTTCCTCAGGCCGACGTTCTGGTTCCCGCCGCTGGAGCGGCTCGACCTCTCGCTGGTGTCGCCGTGGGGCCACCAGTTCCTCTCCTCCGCGGCGCCATCCTCCTCCGACGCCATCGCGCCGTCCGTGACGGCGGAGGAGGCCACGGAGCGGAACGCCTTCATCGCGGCGCACTTCGCCTACTGCTTCCCCGTCGTGTCCTCGCTCGCCGTATACCGCCGCGACCCCACCACGCTCGCCAGCCTCACCCCGCACTGGAGGTCCGGCCTCCGCAGCGTTAAGCTCGTGTGCTGGCACCAGCGCCCGCCCTGCCTCGATGCCAGCGCGGATCTCGAGCCGCTCCGCGGGGGCTGCCCCGCGCTCAGGCCGCTCGACGCATTCCTGGCACGCGAGGCTGGGCTCACCCGCGACGTCGTGGCGCTGTTCTTCGTGATGCTGTAGCTGCACGGACATGGCGGCTCCGTCAGACATGGCACGCAAGCCAAGGTCGGACAGGCCGTTGAACACACCCAGCGGCGGGAACTGCGGCGGCTGCTGCGCCGCCAGCACCACAGGCGGCACGACCGGAGCGTCGTCGGGGCTGCTGCTGCTCTTGGCGCGCCGTGGCTGAATGGCGGCGGCCGTGGGCGCGGACGACCCGGACCTGGCGGCGGTCCGGAGGACTTGCTAGCTGCCGGGATGATGATGGGCGGCGAGCTGGAGCGAGCGGCCAGCGGCGCACGGCTGAATGTGGTGGTGGTACGAGCTGCCGCCGTGTGGCATGCTGTTGACATGGTGCCCACAGGCAGCGGTGCTGGAGCATGAGGCTGTGGGGTTGCTGCCTTGCTGGAGCATGAGGCCGTGCTCGAGGATGTCCATGGCGTCGAACAGGCACGACTTCAGATTGCGTCCAGGCCGTGCTCGAGGATGTCCATGACGGTGTGGAGGCACCGAGGCAGGCCATGGTCCTTGCTGTCCTTGCTGTCCGTGCTTGTGTGCCGCCCGTGGCCACGGATATGTCATCGCAGTGCATCGCTGTCCACGGCGTCTGCGAGGACGACGCTGTCACTGCACAAGCAGCAACACCGGCTCTGGCAGATCCACGACCGGGGAGCCCGCCGCGGCGGGCGGCGAGGGTCAGTGCAGCGCGCGGGGGAAGAAGAATGGGGCAAATGGGCTGGCGGAATCGCCAGGGGCAGACGAGGTCATTTTACACGTCCCGCTGACTCAGATCCGACGTGAACGGCTGCGCTAGCTAGCCACGGCCTCAAATGTGGTAAATATGTATGGATTCGGCAACAACGCTGCTAAAACAATATGGGATTCTGGTAGGGTGATATCTGGAGAGTGAGCGTTCGTGATAATGGTAAATATGTAAATGTCCCGGAAATGTACAAGGCAGAGAAGCTTTTCTGCTTTCCCACTATTTGGTTCACTGATCACTTCGATTGAGGAAGCAAAATTGCGTGTGATAGTCTAAACCTGCTCACAGTTTGAATCTTTTGACGAAAGAAATGGCACACTGTCAATGTAGGTTGTGAAACCATATCGTTTTCTAGCGATCCAGGAGCTCTCCATTCTAATAAATCTCAATTATTTGAACCACATCAATAGGGAAATGTAGCATGTACTACCATAGTTGCGATGGCGCTTACCTGAGAGGCGCGACGATGGCGGGCGGCGTGTTTGGGAACCAGGTGAGCACGAGCCTGACGACGAGCACCGTGTTGTAAAGGTTGAGGAAGTTGTTGATGCCGTTGGACACCACCAGCCCGGCCACCGAGTCCCCGAGCACCGCCGCGAAGCAGTGCTCCCCAGACAGCAGCGTCGCACGCCGCGCCACCACCAGCCGCCTCCTGCCCTGCTCGTTCCATCAAACCACACCACAGCGGCGTTGGGTTCCGTCTACTGTGTTACTGAGATCGAGCTCACGAATGCAGCGCGTGTCTGCCTACCTGGGAGAAGGAAGAGAGGTGGGAGTGGGCGGCGAAGAGCGGCTTCAGGAGCGGGTGGGCGGCCGCCGCGGACGCGAGCTCCTCGAGGCGGCGGGCGAGAGGGGTGAGGACGTCGGGGCCGGGGAGCGTGCGTGTCCGGTGGACGCCGGGGAACGGCAGGTGGCGTACGGCGAGGAGGAGTGGCGGCGTCGAGGCGTGGTGCTGCTGAGCCGGGTCGGCGTTGGGGGAGGCCATTGGTGCCGTGCTTCGAGCCTTGAAGCGGGTCGAGGCGGATGGCGGACGAGAGGTTACAGGGTTCAGATAACGTTTCGAGGCAGCCAGATCAGATGGTATGGAATTGTTTTTCTAGATTGGTCCTTGGACTGTTTAGAAATTATCAGGTGCTGAAAAAAATTAGTACGAGTAACTAACTGCTGACAAGATTTAGATGAAATTTAAACTAATAATTCCCCTAAGTAATTTCCCACTTTATCGTTTCAGATTGGACGCGCTGACTCTGCAGCATGTGATGTACCCGATGATTTAATTTAATCGTCAATGTTTTGTTTTCATCGTTTTAGATGCAAGATGCGGTTTAGGTCTAGTTCCAAAATATTCAATCTTATATCATGTCCAATGTTTTAGTGGTGATCAACAGATTTAGCATGAAAATTGTACTCGGGTCCTGTTTCGTTTGTCTTATGAGTCGTACTATTTTAACGAACGAACAATATTTTTCTCTCGCAATAAATCAGCGAACAATACTTTTAGCCATGACTTTTCAGCAAAGCGAACAGAAGCCTCTGGCTTTGGTGTTCAACGGGACTGTTCATCCGAAGCATTGATGTATCAACTAAAACTATCAGAGAAGAAGATAGAAGGATTTGGATAGGATATTGTTTCTTTTTTTTTTTCCAGATTTTTCCATGTAATTTGGGAATGTATCATTCCGAGTAGCAATATAATTTTCCATTCCCTTGGAGGCTGTTTGGTTTGCCGCCGCAGACAACCACGCCACAAATGTGGCAAGCCACGCCCACCGCAGCTGCTGTTTGGTTACGGCTTTAACTACGGCAGACACGGAATCTCATAGAAGGAAACACGCCACAAAAGTGTGGCGCCAACCTGCCGCGACTGCGGCTCGCCACACTTCGGGCGAGGCCACGTGTGGCCGATATCAAACATGCCAGACTATTTCATTTGAGTGAGAAAAAATACATAATTGTCGATTCTAACTTTGGGCAAGCTTCAACAAATAACTGCATTTGTTCTTCATCTAATACTAGCCACAACGTTGCTCTTTACCGATGCTAAAAGAAGAAACAAAGTGAAGGAAGCATCAAGTCATACCATTTGTGTGGACCGATGTTGAAGTAAAAACAATAATACAAGAACCGAGTAGCCTTCTTGCTTCGCTGAGCAAATAAACAATTATTTCTTAACCCATGGATGTGCGAAGCAAGGAAGAAAATGGTTCTCTAAGTTTTGACAATTTTAGTCCCACATACACTCAGAGATCAATGTAAGCAGATATACATATATTCCTTCTAGTTCCCATAACATTGTGATGGAGAAATCGAATGTCACTACCTTTAAATGAGTTTGAAGTTTTTGTGGGAGCCTAAGCTTTCGCATCAACTAAATACCAGCGTGGGAAACTATGGCGGCCATAACGGTGGGCGTGGTTGAAATCCAAACACCCCATAGACTCCAAGACACGATGTACCGTTGAAGCCATGGAGGGGGATCGAGAATGGTGTTGGCTTTGGTGCTTCAGAGATGAAACGTGAAAACCCCGGGTGAGTGAGAATGCTTACGACTTTGGTTTTCTAGGACATGGTCACATGGACATGTGACCACCTCCTTTGTATGGATGATTCCTCAAGACACTATTATTACATTTGTACTATATTGAAGCCATGGAGGGGGATCGAGAATGGTGTTGACTTTGGTGCTTCAGAGATGAAACGTGAAAACCCCGAGTGAGTGAGAATGCTTACGACTTTGGTTTTCTAGGACATGGTCACATGGACATGTGACCACCTCGTTTGGCAGCGGGCAGCCGGGCACGATGCCAAATTGCCAATCGGCAGCGTAGCCACGCTCCCGTGACAGACACTGTCTCACGTTTACTTCAGTGCAGTGCGCCGTGTGTCACGAATCCAGAACGCGCGCGCCCTTGCATTGCAATCCCAAACCAACACTCACCACGTTTTCCACGGCAAAAGATTCCAACAACTGGGGACTGGGGTCCTGTACTCCTGTCCTGTCCAGACGAAGAAATCCGGCCCCCTCCTCGTCCTCGCCTCAGCTCGGCAGACACGTCGCCATCGTCCTCGCCTCCCCTCCCTGCTCCCTCCTCGAGTTTTAATCCCGGCGCGCACCAACCACCAGTCCAGGACCACTCTGGCTCCTTTCCACCCCTCCTCCATTTCCCACCACCACCTCCCATGCCCGCCGCCAGGCCCTGAGCTGCGGACTCACCGCCCTCTCCGCCGCTCGCCGGGGAGGCCTCTGGTCTCGGGATCGTCTCCATGGCGACCGCTGCCACCATCTCCCTCCTACAGCACGTCCGACCTCCGGCTTCGGGCGGTAGTCTTCTCCCCCTCCAGCGCCTCCGCCCTGTTCACTGCCGGCGCTCGGCGCCAGCCTCCCACCACTCCCTCCAGCGCCGTCTCCGTCTCCGCCTCCCCACGCGCGACGCACCCGCGGCCCGGCCCCGCGCCACGGCCGACCCGTCGCCCGCCTCGACCGCGCTCGACGCGGCGGCTGGGGAGGGGACCTCCGGCGCCGTCACCGCGCTGCTCGACGTGAGCGGCATGATGTGCGGCGGCTGCGCGGCGCGGGTGCGGGCTATCCTGGCGGCGGACCCGCGGGTGGAGACGACGGCGGTCAACCTCCTCGCCGAGTCCGCCGCGGTGCGGCTGCGGGCGCCGGCGCCGCCGGGCGCCGGCGAGGAGCTCGCGGCCAGGCTCACGGAGTGCGGGTTCCCCGCCACGGCGCGCCGAGGCGGCGCGGCCACGGGCGCCGGGGAGAGCGCGCGCAAGTGGAGGGAGATGGCGGCCAGGAAGGAGGAGCTCCTGGCGCGGAGCCGGGGCCGAGTCGCATTCGCGTGGACGCTCGTCGCGCTCTGCTGCGGCTCGCACGCGTCCCACATCCTGCACTCGCTCGGTATCCATATCGGCCACGGTGAGTTGGAACTACCACGAGACATTCAGAGCGTGATCTGATTTTCCGGCATAGCAAAGTGAGGTTTAATATTGGCGCTAAGCGCCCCTCTGATTGGTCTGTGCTTGGTGCAGGAACGTTTTTGGACCTGTTGCATAATTCTTATGTGAAATGTGGCATTGCTACAGCTGCTCTGCTTGGGCCTGGAAGAGGTATAGTCGGTTCCCAACGTCTCATATTGTGCGTTCGTGTACATGTTGTTTTGTTTAATCTTGTGCCGATCCGATAGCGACTGATATGTTTTTATATTCAATCAATTTCTAAGAATTAAGAAAGTTAGGAGTCAGAAAACTGACCAGCGCGAATTTCTAAGAATTAGTAAGAAACAAAACTGAAGTTGAATGAAATGCCATCACGTTGTTAGCACTTGCTTCTCTAGCTATTCCATTCTCTCTTCGTCACATCATTTCAATGTGCCTCCAGATATACTGTTTGATGGTTTTAGAGCATTCAAGCAAGGTTCCCCCAACATGAACTCTCTAGTAGGATTTGGCTCTGCAGCTGCATTTGCTATCAGTGCAGTAAGTGGGTCCATAGTCAAATTTTCTGTCCAACCATATAGTTTTATACTAATTTAGCTTTGCATTTCTTAAGGTGTCCTTGCTGAACCCTGAGTTGGAGTGGAATTCAACCTTTTTTGATGAACCGGTGAGTCAATTTTTTTATAGTCCTATTGGTTGAGCTGTAATTTTTATCTTCGGCTCTTGTCATAGAGTTTGCTCTGATCTTGGATCTTGCAATGGTTTTGACGAAAGCAGTGTCGATTCACAGAACATGGAAACTTGATTTTCTTTTTGCACATTAGTCGAACCAATTTGGTATTTGACTGAAGAACAGTTGAGTTGCGAGTTTTGTTTTGCATGGCAAAGTTTTGTTGAAGAAAGTTTTCTTGTAGCATGCAGGTCATGCTTCTTGGATTTGTACTTCTTGGGCGATCTCTTGAAGAAAGTGCAAGGCTTAAGGCATCCAGTGATATGAATGAGCTCATTGTAAGTATTGATTTATATCTAACTATTGTTCCAGCAAGAAGCATTTTTATTTTTCATTTTACAACGCTAGAGACAGAAGATAAGATGGATAATTTTTACTACCATTTTCCACAAACCCTATAGAAAAATTATTGTTTTGTAAAATGACCGATAGAAAAGGAACGCACCATATATCATCATGCAAGATAATTGATTCATTGAAACTAATGATGTCTGGTGATCTGTGGCAGTCATTGTTATCACCTCAGTCGAGGTTAATTGTTACTTCCTCAAGTGATGACCCTTCCGCCGACACTAGTTTGAATTCTGATGCAATCACTGTCGAGGTTCCTGTTGATGATGTCCGTGTTGGAGACTCAATATTGGTCCTGCCAGGAGAAACTATACCTGTAGATGTATGGAGCTACTCCATAGTTTCATTTTTTTTATTTGCCAGTATTATCGATCTATGTTTGAATAGGAATACTTGGAAAACAGCTATTGAAATGCCTGAACCATGACTTGGGGCTTTGGTGGGTTTCAACTCTAGCCTACCCCAACTTGCTTGGGACTGAAAGGCTATGTTGTTGTTGTTGTTGTTGTTGTTGTCGATCAACCCATTAATCCGTCTGAAACTCATTCTTGCAGGGGAATGTTATTGGAGGATCAAGTTTTGTTGACGAAACAATGCTTACTGGAGAGTCCTTGCCTGTAGCCAAGGAGACTGGGCTTCCTGTATTTTCAGGAACTGTGAACTGGGTATGTATAAGTTCTTGCCTGAAAGCATGACCCTAGGGCTGATTCCAATAAGATGTTTCCAATCAACTCTATTTTCTAAATGCTTGAACAAAATGAATGCCCTGTTACTCTAAAATGCTGCCATCTGCTCTCTGTCTAAAGTGTGACTGGCGTATCAGTAAGCTCTTCACTCATTTCTCATGTCTTGATTGACGTCCAAAGGATGCTTTAACTAGATACACTTCACAAAATTCACTACAATGTTTTGTGTCACTTCTTCAACTTTGATGTTCCACTACCTTCATAAGTTCAGATGCCTTT